TGTGTGTGTGTGTGTGTGTGTGTGTGTGTGCGTGCGTGTGTGCGTGCATGTGTGTGTGTATACTTCAGTAGGAGTACAATGCTTAATGGTTAGGCAGGAAGGAGAAAAGAACATGTGTGTGTACTGTATGTTTATGTTAGCCTGAAAAGTTTCCATTTTTGTTAAGGCATATTTATGTTTTCAAAGGGTTCGGCAGGTTTCGTACTTTACCTCCTTTTCAGAAATAAAATGTAAGGTGAAGTGGAAGAATAAATGGTGAGGAGACGTTATGGAAACTGACAGCATGCGTGCTAATTAGGAAGATGAAATGGGCTGGAATGAGGTGTGAAAAGTGTGGATGAATTTTGTTTCCAGGTTCATGACAGATCATCTCCTGGGTTAGGAGGCTTGTAAATGTCTTCCTGTGAAAAGTTATGTGGAGTGAATGTAATAGCTGTGAATGTGAAAATGCACTAAACACAGACACAGCTGTGGTCCATTTTACATTTAAGCAAGAAAAACATCAAACTTAAATTTGTTACATGAAAAAAAAACAACTCATCTTGAATCACAAGAATCTGATTTTTATTTAGGTTCATGATTCGACTCCAGCTCACTTACAGATAAAAGCTGTTTGTTTAGTTTGTTTTTAGTACAAAAGGTTCCAGTGTGATGTTTGATGCGCTTTGCAGTGTTAATGTCAGAATTAAATCAATAGACAAATGGAGGCTGGATTGCCAATAAATCAAGTGTGACCCTTTCTGAACTTTTCCAGGAACCCAGAAACCTTTTTAGGAACTTTCGCATTTTCAGAAGAACAAGAGTCTAAATTAAGTCCCAGAGCTTTAATTCTGGTGGCTTCAGTCTCCCTCCCTCTGCCCCAACATTCATTCAAACATCACGGCTGCGCAGCAGTAAATTATATAATACCAATTTTAACACACTGAATGAAAGGGAATTTAATGCAGTTTCTTTTTTTTCTACAGTGATCAAGATCTCTACAGAGTGATCTCAATTAATATCAAATATAAAATGCAAAATACTTGTTTGCATAATTATTTACCCCTTTTGAGGGCACAGATAAATCCTCACTGAGGCAGCCAGTAGGTTTTACAAGTCACATACTTGGTTAAACAGTGATCACGTGTTTATAAACCAGGGATTTCAGTAGATTGTAGT